AACCCTAACCCTAACCCTAACCCTAACCCTAACCCTAACCCTAACCCTAACCCTAACCCTAACCCTAACCCTAACCCTAACCCTGCTAGTAAACTTAGTCTTTATAATAGTAACTATCATTTGGCGCTAGTTAGAGATATATAGGCGAGGCACCTTAGCTTAAGCGCATACTCTCTCTATACTATAAGTAAGCCGATTATCCGCCTAGATCCTATTATCCTTCTACTATAGATAGAGCGAGATTAACGCCTTTAGAGCGGACTAATAGAGGAAGCTCTAATGTAGTAGGATTACATAAATAATATAGTCTAGTAGGAGATCCCCTACTACTAAGGGTAGGAAGTAAATATTATTCTTATACGCGCCCGTCTACTACTAGCCTTTATAGTATATTATATAGAGTATAACTAGTCTATACTAGATAAAGATGTTACGCTATCTCTAGCTATTTCGCTAAGTAATTAAGAAGAGCTCTAGCTCTCTAAGAGGCTAACCTACATCTATATAGATTAATACTAGAAGCCTCTTTAGGAACTCATCTGCCGCTATTTTATATAGTGTAATTATCTTATCACGCTAGACTTATCCTCTACTATCCGCCTCTACTAAAAAAGAGTTCTTAAGCTACTTAGAGTTCTAGATAACTGTCTGCAACGCCCTATCTCGGCCCTTTAAGAGCCTGACGTTCTTTTAATATAGACTAAAGAACTAGCTAAAGGTATTATAGTCTAGATTGTCTCTTAAAGCGCATATATGCATTTATAGTAGCTATTAAGCGCCGAATATTAGCTCTCTATATAGTAGCTCGCATGCCTACTTGTACTCTAATAGTATTAGCTTCGGCATCTTATCTATTTATAACTCCGTATTATTATAGGTTAGAATCTACTTATTCTTATTCTAGCGCGCTTAGTGAGCCCCAATATTATCCTTAGAGATTCTAAGTAGTAGTAGCCGCCACCGCAAGATCTCGCCTATAGGAAACTTAGCTGTCTACTATAGGAACTTCTTATAGATCTTCTTAATTAGCTTTAGCGCATCCCCTAAGCCCGCTAGTTTCTAGCTAGCGCTATAGTGGAAGATAAGTAGCTATACTACCTAGATTAGGCCTAATAGGTAGCTACTATAGTTTTCTAGCCGCATCTAGCCTAATATTAATAGCTTCACGCTAAGTATTATGTAGAAGCTTACTAACGGGGAGCTATATTGCTTACCACTAAAGTTATAGTAGATAAGCTATATATATAGCGTCTTTAATACTCTCTTTAAGGCTGGGCTGTTACTTATACTAGCCGTCTGTAGCGTCCCTTTCCACGCGTTCTACTACTTACTACTAAGATAGATTATATTCTCTAGCTTACTTCGCTTTTAATACTACTACTACTTCTAGCTTCCTTCTATTATAAAGTAATTGCGGTCGACTATATAGTACATATAGGCTAAGAGTTGCTTCTATAGGCTAAAGTAAGCTATTAGTGTGCTAGCTTCTTTATCTATATTAAAAGCCTAAGTCTTCTCTAGTAGCTTTACCTTAGAGGACTAGAAGCGGTTTAGAATGACCTATTAAGGCTAGGTTAATATATAGTCCGGCCTATTAAAGTACTAGCTATAAGCCTCTTATAGAATAGCCTCTATTCCCTCTAGTATAGCGGCTAACTCTAGCTTCTAGTCGCTATTCTTAGGTAGAGCAATTAAGGCCTAAATTTTATCTTTCTTTAGGTCTTAAATATGCTCTATAATACTAGTTCTCCTTAGCTAAGGTATAACTACCGACTTATAGCTATTAAAGCCGTGTATCTTATTAGCCTTCTCGGCTATATCGCGCTCCATCTACCTTAGATTCTTATTCTACTAGCGGAAAAACTCCTTCTCTTCTATTACTAGCGTTATAGACCTTAAGTCGGTAGGCTTTATAGCCCCTTCCTCTACTATAAAATATCTAACGTGCTACGTCTCTATAAAGAAGGTCTAGAGCTTACACTTAGCCTATAATAAGGTTGGCTTATTATACTCTAAAGGCTTCTAGCTATATACTTGCAATATGTAATTCTTAATAGTTTTAAGGCTTTATGTGAGCCCCTTAGAGTAGAGGTAGTAATAGAAGCTATTATACTACTTAAGTCTATTAATTGCCTAGATAATCTCCTTAGCTGGATAGTAGATATTATTTAGCGTGAGTAGCCTATAAGTAGAGAAAAGTTCGATTAAAGATTTTAGCTATTATCTAAATATTTGATGCGGTTAGTTTCTAAGGTGTCGCTTCTAGAGGTCTTATTTCGGTAGTAAATAGAACCTGCACTCTATATAGATGAGTACCCGCTATTCGGGATTATATATAAAAGCCTCTATTCTATTAACAAAAATATATATAGTTAATATATAGGAGCCTTATAATATTCCTCCTAGCCTAGACTATATAAAAAAAAAAAGAAAAGACCTCCTTTTACTATATTAGGGTAGATGGAATTGCGGTAATTTAATTGCGCTTACCTAGACCTATACGCACCTATAGGTAGGGGTGGTGCAGCTAATTAACCCGCTAGGAACTAGAAGTGCGGTGCACTTCTCGCGAAAGATAAAGGGTAGCCTAAAATGTATATATATAGTTGGTGTGGTTAGTATAGTTAGTATAGTTAGCGTAGTCGGCAGTCGGCGTTTTTATAGCTAAGCTATAGTACTAGCTATAGTTGTAGTATACTAGCTATAACCGCTAGCTCTATAGTTATAATTAAGCCTTAGCTAGAATTTTAAATCCCTAAGGCTTTTATAGTAGTAGTTGCAGAGTACTATAAAATAGATATATCGATAGTATAAGGGTAGAATTAGAAAGTTAGGGACTAGATTTTGCGATTTTAAGCTATAGTATTTATTATCGCGTTGCAAGTGTTTCTACTATAGAAATCCTAGAGGTAGTTATAGTTTTTACTAAGGCGGTGCATAGTAGAAAAGTATATTTTATTAAGTATATTAATTTATAGTATTATATATAAGATCTATAGTTTAAATCTACTTTAGATTTTACTCTTAGAAATATTTTATTAATACTTATAGTAGCCTATATTACATTTCTTACTTCTTTCTTTCTATTATAAAAGATCTATAGTTTAAGTCTACTTTAGAGAGTACTTTTCTATAGATTCTTAAAACTATTATACTATAAAATAGATATACCTTATTCTCTTTACTAATACTCTAAACTACTTTAGTATAAAATACGTATATCTTATTACTTATAGTAGAAATAGATATTAAAGCTATTATTACTTACATAATATAGAAGCTACCACTAGGAGTATAAATAGAAATTTAATTAAGATAGCTATATTAAATATTATAATAGCCCTACTACAAAATCTATACTTTATTTACTATTATCTATACTACTGCCTGTATTAGACTATAAGAAGTATAAAAGCGCTATTTAAATAAACCTCTATATACCTTTCATCTTTATAAGAATTTTATTATTTTATTAGAAGGAGGCGTAGCAGTAGTAAAGCGAGGTATTATTAGATAAATACGAGTTTTATAGCGAGATTTCCGCAGTAAGAGTATTATTGCGCACGACGTGATAGCGAGGAAGCTGCGATGCCGAGCAAGGAGGATTGACATGTAGGGTGCAGCTGAGTGACGCCCTCATGCAGCGCACCGGCAGATCCGGAGTTCAGCACTATTCGCGAAGACACTATAGTATCACAATGTCGAAGGATAGTCCATCTATTGGAGCGTTACAGTAGCTTGAAAATTTCATTAGCAAGAGCGCTTTGTATGCGGGAGCCAAGATTTGTAAGCGCATGCATCCGCGGTTGCCTATCAAGTACCAGCTCGGGAAGATGCATAAGTACCTCAATCGCCCAGGTGTATGGAGGTTGAGACGTCCGTCCCAGCTCATTCAGAATGCGCGGACTCCTCGCTGTCGTTGCGACGATCGTCGTCGATTTGAGCTTCGCCGCGGTCGGCGGCACGATTCCGCTTGCCAAGCAACCGTTTGAGAGATTCAAGCGTCAGATCGAGGATACGCCGGCGAATTCATCAGCTTCAAGCTTGCAGGTAGATCTAGGCTATGAGATCTATGAGGGATTCAACGACGAGACTTCTGGATTGAACCAGTGGAGAGGGTAGGTGACGCCTCGAGCCAGCTCTTCGCAAAGACGAAACACCTTGAAAGGTCTTTTCACATCTAGTTCTTGACCGTCACGATAATTGTCCTTTCTAAGTTGCCATGATGCATGATTATTTCGTGTTCGCCGCTGCATGGGGTATCTTGTGCCATCTCTAGTCACGCTCGACTATCCTCCATCCACATCTGAGTTGTTATTCAACGACAATTCCACCGCCGAGCTTGATTGTATGTCTAATATTGCGCAGCATCCGCTTCGCAGCTCCACCAATAGGCGAGCTTCGTTGGCAGCCGCCACAACCACCAGTCTACAACAGGAGCAACATCATCCAAGCCTCGAACTTCGGCTCCGAATGCCCACAGAGCAGCGCCAACGCCATCTCGAGAATCTTCCCTTCCCGCCTCGGCAACGAAGACTGCCTCTTCCTGAACGTCTACTCGCCCCCCGACGCCGCCAATCTCCCCGTCCTCGTGTGGATCCATGGCGGCGGTTACGGCTTGGGCAACGGCTCGGCCCAGAACCTTGCGTCCATCATCAATGCGAACAACAACAGCTTCGTCGGCGTGGCAATTCAGTACCGTCTCGGGGCTTTCGGCTTCCTCGCTTCTGATGAGGTGGCAAGGAACGGCGTGGCCAACGCGGGCATCTTGGATGCCGAATTCGCGCTGGAGTGGGTGCAGGCGTACATTCACCTCTTCGGCGGCAACACGAGCCAGGTTACCATCTCAGGCGAGTCGGCGGGTGCGGGTGCGGTCATGCTGCTCGATATAGCGTACGGCGGGACGCTGGGAACGAGTTTGTTCCAGAACAGCATCGCCGCGAGCCCGTATCTGCCGATGCAGTATGGGTACAAGGACTGGGTGCCAAGTCAGAGCTACTACGCCTTTGCGGCGGCCACGGGCTGCTTCTCTTCTACGCGTTACGGAGCCAACTCGAGCCAGACAATCTTCGATTGCCTGGTTGCGCAGGATACGGAAACGCTGCAGTATGCAAGCTTCAATGTCTCAGAGACCGGGACATATGGAACGTGGGGCTTCTTACCCGTCACGGATGGCGTGCTTATCCAGGATTTGCCGAGTAGACAGTTGCTGGAGAAGCGGGTGAACGGTGCAAACATCTTGGTAGGCAACAATGCCGACGAAGGCCCGCTATTCGTTCCGCAAGACATCATGTCGATTGAGGACCTCGTGGAGTGGCTGCAGCTCACATTCCCTCTCTTCTCAAATAACGATATTGCAAAAGTGCTATTGTACTACCCAAGCGGCAACGAAACAACGGAGGACGAGGATGCTCTTAGATACGCGACTGCAGGCGATATGGGCGCGACCGCTATCAATGTTTCGTCCGTAGCTGCTGGCCAACAGCAGCGTGCTAACGTGAGTTTCGCCTTCTCTATACTCCTTTCCACTTCGCTGACAGGGGCTGTGCGAAACCTCGACTGACGTATACCACAGAACATTTATGCCGAAACAAGCTTTGTCTGCCCCTCCTACTGGCTCGCCGAAGCCTACAGCGGCAGTGGCAGCGGCGTCTCTCGGAGCAGCTACCGGTACCAGTATTCTGTCCCCGTCGCACTCCACGGCGCTGACGTCGCGGTGTACTTCGGCCCCACGCCACCCACCGTCGGTCCCGACATGTCTATGGCCTTCATGCGCATATGGGGCAGTTTCATCACACAGGACAACCCCAGCATTCCAGATGAGGTCGCCAACGGTGCCTCTTTTAACAATACCGCAGCGTCTAACCCGGCCTCTAGCTGGCCGGAGTACTCGGTATACGCACCGTATCAAATTAACCTTAATCAGACTGGCGGAACGCCTTTAGAGGTGGCACTATTTGGAGTTGTTAATGTGACGGAATTCGTTGGCCCAGGGCAAGTGAATGATATCGAGTTAGTGAATGCATATACGTGGGAGGGCGGACGAGGAGTAAGGTGTGATTTCTGGAGGAGCGTTGGAGGTTTGGTGCCCGAGTAGACAAACTGTGGCGTCCCATACTCTCGATATGATACGGCTGGAGTCAGAACGTGGACGAAGATTGTCCGAGGACGTACGAGAAATCGCTGATAGCTTCTGAGACAGCTCAGCCATCTCGAGCAGCAGGAATACTACATAGGCCGCTAACGCTTGTTCTCGAATCCGATATGCCTGCTGTGATTGCATTGATCTTTGTCCTCCGGTTGACAATGATGCCGTACATTGACTGAGGCATGACAAGACGGAGTTCGGCTGAGGAACAGCGCGGCTCCAGCCATCCTGGGCCATAAAAAGGAAGCCGCGCAGGGGTGCCGAAAGTTAATCTCATTTTGGCCCTGGAGCAATCGCCCGTCCAGCTCCACTTCATTACACTTTTTTTCGGCCCGTCCCATCTCATAGATCCGCCTCGGTTCCGGCTCCTCAATTACGTTTGCCAGCACAGTCCAAAATGTATCATCAGCCGCGGCCCTGTGCCGCCGTGAACGCCTCCTCTCCTCTTCCTCTGCCGCATCGAGTAGATTCGCCACCTCACTTCTGCGCTTGCCATCCACATTCCCCGCAACCCCAATCAAGGACGGAATCGTCTCGTCTCTTTATCTTAACGGTACATCAATCGCCAGACCGACGCCCAACCGGCCGATCAAGCGTGGGAGCGATCCTCAAGTGCAGCCCTACGCATGTGGAGTGAACTCTAGTTACACCTGCGTGACACTGCAGTCAAGTTTTCCCACGTCAAATCATCGCGCTATCGAACGAAATTCTGCCAACAAGGAGGTTGCCGGAATCCATGGATGGCTGACTCAAGGTCTCAGTGATCCTCAATCTATGGCTACACATCAACCTAACCGGCTTTCACAAGCGCGACAGAGGAGTACGGTCAATCTCAAAGACAGAGTAGTCTTCGAAGAATGCTTACAATACGCTTACTGCACGGGATTCTGGGCAGAGGGAAGTGGAGCTCATCCAGAGTCTGGAGAGCCGTGTCGCCGACCTCGAATTTGAGAGGGCAGACTTGGAGAAGTGGAAGGGCCTTTTTCTTGTTCACGCATCCTTCTTGATAGGTGACGACGCGCAACACCATTGAAGACTGGCATTGGGGCGAAAATGCTGGCTGAGAAGCAGATACGGAGTTTCGCGCATGCCCGCATAATTCACGCGATACCGCAACTGTTACGAAACCAATGATCATAGAGCAATCTGGACCACACGCGATCCGCTGCAATTGCGCTAACCAAAAGGATCAACCATCCGTCTTTTAACGACTAGCAATTGCGCCGCAATGGTCAACGATATGGCCGCCGTGTCTCGGGCATGTAAAGCTCTGAACTCGGATGCTCGCGATGCCGGAGAGCCTTAAGAACCGAGATTTATCCGGATTGAGTGCTCCAATTCGGGTAGTACACGGCTACACAGCATCCGCTGAGCTTGAGCAAATACCTTTTGCCCAGCAAGATGGTCAAGCAACGCCAACTTGCCTACCGCTGAAGGCGGTTCGTCTCCACTTGATAGGGACTGCTATATTGATCGTGTCTACTCACGTGACTAGCCACCGTCTCAACTAGTGAGAGATCATTCTTCCCTGGGTCCTTGGAAGATGTATCTGCGGTCTTGATGCGTGCCACATCCCCCTGATCTGGTACCGCTGCGTCGACAGTCCGGGGAATAGGAACGGCGGACATCGAAAGCGACCGCTGTGGCTCTAAAGGTGGAGAAAGCTCGTTTGATGCCACGTCATGACTTTCTGATTTTGAGCGCGCAGGTTCCCCTTCCGCGGACGAGGCGGACGCAACGCTCTGGCTGCGGTCTTTCTGGTTGCCTCGGCTCTTTCCCCGGTCGGAATGCTTGAAAAAGCGTAGAAAGCCTGTGCGCTTAGAGTGCGGTTTGCTAGGCGATGGCGCGTGTTCCCCGTGGCCACCGCTGTTAGTACTAGATGCGGTGGCGGTTGTAGTGTGGGAGACAGGTTGATGTTCCGAGTACTTTCTGGCGCTGCTTTCCCGAAACTGCTCATTCAGATAAGCAAGTACCTTGTCGGCCGCATCTGCGTATTCTGGATATGTATCGCGACACGCCTCCCGTATGAGGCGCAGTCTCCCCCAGTCTTGCCGGGCACGATCGCCCACCGGTTCTGGATGCCAGCCAAAGCCTTTTATATCCATCTTCATTCCACGATCCACTCTTTCCGCCACATCCATCATGTGTACCAGGGTCTCCACCTTGTCTTTCACCGCGCTTATGAATGCGGAGAACTTGGACCCGTCGGATATAGTCCAGTGCCGCAGCGCAACGGAAGTCTGTCTTTGCCAAACTGGCGATAGTTGACGCAACAGGGAGAACTTCTCGTTGAAGGCATCGCTGCGGATCGGATCCAATGGCGCCTCGATCGAGGAATTGGACCTTTTCGGCGGTTTCAGCCCGTACCGCTCGTACATCTCGGAGTCTCCGACGCCGGGAGTGAACAGGCGCAGAAGATGATTCAATGCTTCTTCGATGGCTTGGCGCATATCAGGTTCGTCCATGCGCGCATCGCGGATGCCAAAATAAATGGCCAACTCTGGATCTGGATTTGTGTCGCCGGGCTGTAGAGGGACGGCGCGGGTTGCAACGGTGGGCGGCGGTGAGGAGATGCCAACAACATCACCCCAGATCAGCAAACGTGATTGCTCGATGCCGAGACAAGTAAGAAGACGCTTCTGTGTAGTGTCATAACTATTGGAAAGATGCAGGTGGCCGAACGCCTGAACGCAGGAGTTGAAAAGGACTGCGAGCGCAATCAGATCGTCCAGAGAGCAGGATTGCTCTTGTGCTGTAGTCATCGCAGGCTGCTCGTTGTAGTCCTAGTGAGGAAGTCATAAAGAATATTTCGCGCGGTGAGTTGGACATTTGTAAAAGAAGTGGAGGGATCTGTGTACAGGACAATCGCAATGACATGGGAGGCGCTGGTATTATACCTGTGCCACGGTTCGGCGCCCCCCATGCAAGTGTCAGATACGTGGGCGCGCGTGTTTGGGCTTATGTAATAACTTACCCCATATCAAGTCCAGCGCTCGATCACTACTACCTTATGCTTTTTTGGGCCGGTGCGCGTGGGGCTCACACGTCGCGGCACCCAGCAAAAAAGACTTGGCACTACCCAGAGCTTATCTTAGCAAAGCTAAACCCACCTATAAGGTGCATATGCATTGCTTATACAATTCCTACACATTACATATACTAATTCTAGACCGTTTAGGGTTGTAATTAGTCGGGATAGATCCCTATGCTTCATCTAAACGGCTAGCTCTAACCACTCTAACCGCTAACCATCTAACTACCCTAACCGCTAACCTCTAACTACTAACCTGTAGTGAGTTTGTATATATGCTACTTATTTATTGTATATGCACTGCTTAGGCTAAAAGCTAAGCCCACCTAGAGGTTTATCCGAAAAAGCTCGGCCCACCCAGAGGTTAATCCGTGGGTGCCCGGAACTTTTTTGTGGGTGGTGCGAGCTGTAACCCGGTGCGTGTAGGGGCATGGGTAAGCCGTCGCGAGTGACACCATGACTGGTAATACCCTGGTCCGGAAGCTCCGAGGCTTTGGAAGCCCCGCAGCTGCTCGGGAGGGGAAAAGCGCATCGTTCGTATGGATCGTTTGCCAAGATTGTGGGGTGGATTTACAGCACTGTCCGCAAACGTCCGTATCATGCATCCCATAAATGCAAGAGCCTCAACCCTTTCAGTGTCTCTCGCATGCCATACGCAGCAAGTCGTACGGTGATATTCCTTTCGGCTAACAACCTTCCTCGATTGCGCCCGGCGCCTTGTGATGTAGTGTAAGCGCATGTCAGAGATACGTCGGCTGCTTCGAGGCATTTTCGTCGGCGTCAGAGTGTTAGTCACCAAACCGCTTGGCCCAAAATACTATTCGTCTCCAGGAAGCGCTTATATGTATACAGCCCCTTCTTAACCTTTTTTCTTCTCTCTTTCACTCATCAAACCTGACGATATTGAAGATTTATACCTCATCCTTCTCTGAATCTCAACTATATCGTACCGCCAAAGCCAGCTTCTTATGCACTTTTTCGTCGGCAGATAGTCACATGGATTTCGTAAACTTTTTAAGCGGCCCCGTTCAAGCGGCCTCCGACAGCCTGCGAGGGGCAATTATAGAGGGCGCTCGTGAGGGCTTCAGCCTCGTTCAACAGCATCTCAGCGCCGGTGTCACGAAAACCTTCGACGAAGGTGCTGGCATCATTCAACAAGGTCTTAAACAGACCTTTGACGAGGGTGCTCGCACTATCCAAGAAGGCCTCAACGATGCTCTCAAGCAGACCTTTAAGGACGGTGCTTGCACTATCCAACAAGGTGTTCAACAGGGTTTCAGGCAGGCCTTCGACAAGGGTCTTACAGATGCGCGCGGGTACATCAAAAAGAAGGACGACCTCGCAACTGTCTTCAAGGACTTCCTTGAGTGTTATCTGAAAGCTGAGGCGAAGGACCGCGCTGTGAGATGGTGGCAATCCTTCCTTCCCCTTGTTATCACGGTAGCCGTCTTCGGCGGATCCATTACCTTCACCCTCATCATCCAAGAGATAGCCGACCCGGTTGAACTGAATGCCAAATTCTCATCCGAAACCGTTCGCACATTCATCTCGCTCGCTTGGCTGCTATTTGTTTGTACCCTGGCTGTTGCAAGCTTAAGTGCATCGTTACTAAACTTCTATTCGGACAAAGTTAAAGACGGCTTTGAGGGGAAAACCTGGTTTATCCCCACAGTTTTCCACATACTTTCTTTCCTACTGTATGCATCCTTATTAGGTGCATTTATGTTTCTCTCACTAGCGGTGGTAGCGTATGTACGGGTTGTGGGATGGATAGGAGTGTGTATTACATCGGTAATGGCTCTAACAATTCTTGTTATCTGGCTTTGTGTTGGTCTTAAGATGGTTTATGAATACCGGAAAACCCCAAAGTAAAATAAGAAAACAACCGTGATATTATCTGTTCTATTATAGTAAGGTATATAGCATTGATAAGCCAATACGATAATGTGCTACTAAAGACCCTACTAGATCCCATCAGTTTCTAGGAGGTTTTACCAAAAATTCTACAGATTAGTAAGATAGAACGTAATAGAAAGAAGCGATATCCGGAAGATTCAGGTAAATATAGAAGTCTCCCTATCTCTAGATAGAGATTGAGCTCTTCCGCTGATTCAATGTCTTATCACTAAGGCATCAAATTATATACATTCCAATACTATTGTTACGTGCTTCAAAGTGGAAAAGACTTCAGTGATATCTTTTTTAGTGGAACAGGATCTGATTTATCCCGCAAGAATTATCTATTTCCGAAGGACCATCATGTTAGTTATTCAGGCTTTCTTAGCCGTAACTAGATCGGCGGCCTTTTCCCTAGGTATCTTCAAGAGCGGAGTACCCCGATCTTTGACAATGTCAATAGTCTTGCCGGTGAGACACAAGCATTTACCACTGACTTGAAAAGTAAATGCTAGAGGAGACTCTTTCGCAGCGTCGGGATTCTTTCCGAGTGGAAAATTGCAGATCCTTGTGTCGCTCCAATCTGGATCCCATAAAGGAAGACCGGTCAACTCGGTCAAACCAGAGACCTCCCCCAAGAGTTTGAGTGACTTGTCGTGCTCGCTAACTGCCTTGGTAGCTTCTTGGTAGACGCTTGCAACAAATTTTGAGTAGTTCAATTGGAAAGCTTGAAACCACAGTCACGGAAGAGTCAAGACCTAGTAGAGAGCAAACATCTTGCCCTCCGGGTCTGAGTCCCCAGCCACACAATCGTCTGATCCGCGTGCAGATATATTCCGTTCATCATCCACACTTGTTGGTTTCGCCCCTCAAGGCACGACCGGTTGATGCAGATGGCATCTATCCATATGTGCTTGTACCGACTGCGACGGCGCAAACGTCTTAGTGCTGCTGCACAGTTCGCGGTTATACTAAGAACCTTCAATTTACATAGGATATACGAGTTGCCTGAATGGGAGTCCCACGCGTAAGACGGCGCGTTATACGCAGGGAGACTGTCCGTCAAGCAACCATGAGGTCATACTGCAGAACATCAGATTTGTTCAGAGACGAATGGAGATGAAGGATGCGGATAGATCGTTCCGTAACTAAAGGGGTATAGATGTACTCATCCATACTAGAAGAATCTATGATCCGTGGCTAAGGAAAGGTAAGAACTGCATAGTAGATGAGTAATAAGAAATTTGATCTGTTAGGTAGCAGTTTCCAACCGCACCTTTCAATCGTAACAGCTAGCCTTGTCTCTTCGCAGCCTTGATCGATTTACCGGTGAATTGCCGAGTATCTCTATCGCATACTCCTTCGTACTCAGCTTTGTATCAGCCTGTCCTTACCAGCAGCCAAAAATGCAGACGCAAGGTTCATGTCGGCTCCTCGCTCTCCCTGCAGAACTTCGCAACATGATCTACGAGTACGCTCTTATCTCGTCCGACAACGCCATCCGCATCACCCAAGGCCGCGATCCTCAGCCGCCACCATGGCCTAAAGCACGGCCCGCGGTCAACCTGCTGCGAACATGCTCGCAGATCTACCAAGAGGCGGTAGACGTATTCTACGAAGGCAATACTGTCTATGTCTTCTGTGATTTGCAGGACCGCTCGAGATCTATCATCTCAGAGGATGCTATACCGGTTGCTGCCTTGGCACGGATCCGTTCGCTTTTCGTTGTTCTCTGGGCTGCTCCCCTCGACTCGTATTATCTGGGAAACGATGGATGGTCTCCGGAGGATTTCTCAAGACGCGTTAGTATGGGGCCGTTCTCCTACCTGTGGCGGTTGCGCGACCTTCGACTGTCTCTCCTCTCACGCTACCCTATCCGAGACCCGATCAGCTTTGCGTCTCAGAAGCGATTTTGTGGTGACGTACTACTTGGCTTTGTTGAGTGGGTCCCAGGTCATTGCAAGATCGAGTACGGCGCGAAAAGCGATGCTGAGTTGGGCTTTGTCAAGATCTTCGAAGAGGTTGCAACTACACCGTTCTTCGTTGATCAAGAGCTTCCTGGCGAGATCTGGGAAGATCTAGCAAAGGATTTGTGTCTTGCTCAAGGCCGACAATGGTCGGGTACCGACTGGCATAATGTTGAGCAGTCGCAGCAATCCGGGCGTCTTGAAGAAGAGAACGTTTGGTTGAACTCGTCATATATTTGAATGAAAAGAAGTTCCAGCGAGCACCACTTGGGGAAGCTTGGGGCCCTCATGTATATGAAGGCGATTTCTAAAGTCACTGATATTCCCAACTAATGTTTTGCATTGACTTCACGGCAGTGCTGACGAGGTGGTCTGTCAGAACCTGTATATACTGCAACTACTATTTCGTTGACCTGTTCATGGGGGCTTAACCTATTGACAACAGAGATGCTCTATTTCAGGCCTCAAGGCCACACTGTGTTCGCCAAGCAGGGTCTCGGGAACAGCCGCCACTTGCGTGCGTGAGGCCACGACAGCTCGCATCGTGGACTCCTCAGCTGCGCCGTCAACAGCTCCCCTCAAGCATATTCTACCTAGGCTTCAACACCTACTACTACAGATGATTTTACGATCCCACTAACCCGGCTTGTTAGAGCTAGTTCCACACGCACCCCGGTTCACAGGCCGCGCTCTCTCAGCAAGAGGATTACCTAGCCTCACGCCAGCCATGGCCTTCAACTTCAACATCTTCCGCATCCTCGGCGACCTGTCCCATGCCATTTCCATCGTCGTCCTAATATGGGCCATACATTCGAACCGCAGCGCCGAAGGCGTCTCCCTCATCACACAAGTCCTCTACATCGCTGTCTTCTGCGCGCGCTACATTGACATCTTCTGGGTGCCTGCGTTCAGCGAGTGGCACCACACGTGGAACTTCTTCGGAAAGCTGTTTTACACGCTCACGGGATGCTATATTGTCTTCCTGATGACGCGCGTCTATGCGCGGACTAGGGAGCGAGAGAAGGCGTGGAAATTGGGTGTTTGGTCTACCATCGGCAGCGTTATCGGCGCGCCAGTCGTCTACCTTATTTTCATCAGATTTGCGCCAAACAGACCAGCTTGGGAAGAGGTAACTCTCCCCTGCCCTCAAAGCCCCCAATCGCCCCCCCGCTCACGAGTTCCTAGATCCTCTGGACCTTCAGCATAATCCTCGAATCGTTCGCCATCCTCCCCCAGCTCCTCCTCCTGCGCCAAACCACCGTGCCAACTGTAATCGACAGTTTCTACCTCGCGACTCTAGGCGCCTACCGCGCCTTCTACATCCTGAACTGGTTCGTGCGGTGGCTCGGGCCAGAGCACCACTTCGACCCGACCAGCATGGTGTTCGGTGTCTTGCAGACGGCCTTCTACGTCGACTTTGCGTGGGTGTATTGGAGCAGGCAGCGGGTTAAGCTGAGGCATGGCGCGCTGGTTGATAGTGGGGATCTGGAGCAGGGCTGGCTGGTCAAGAGGTTTGTGGGGAGAGGTGGTGCGGGGGGTGAGGAGGGGGATGCGGCGTATGAGGCTGCGACGGCGAATGAGAGACCGAGAGCCAGGACGGGCGGGAGATGGGGGCCGAGGGGGATCTCGGTGAGTGCGGATGAGGATCTGGTGCCGAGTGCGAAGAGGAATGGGTCGAGGTTGGATGGGGTGGCTGAGGAGGAAAGGCTGGCGGATCCGGGATTGTTTGAGGATGAGGAGAGTGATGATGAGCAAAGCCGGGCAAAGGGGCCAAGTAACGCCGTGGAAGGCGTGGGCAATGGAGCCGAGTGGAGGGATGATCGCCGCAAGTGATTTTCGGCCTCAAAGTTTGGTTCTTATCGCAACACAGCGTCTGGGTATATGTTCTTGGTCTATATGGTGAATCCATATCTTCAGGGTGTCTCTGTTTCTAGCTTCGGATACCCCAAATACTACCTCGGGATTCTTTGGGAGATTGTTCTGGTAAAGATGCTTTCGCAACGTCGGCCGTCGAATGAACGGTTCTATGGCGACTTCGGGACAACATGTAAAACCATGGTCACGTGTTCACGTGTTAACCCGGCTGCTCAACTCCAGCGTCTACTTAGAATCGCCGTGACTGCACCCTGCGGTCAGACACCTCGTACCCTAGCTCGCATGTTGTCAAAGCTTCAGTTGAACATCAGCAGGAGCAGAATTGGTGTCCATGGACATTGCCATCAAATGATTGGTAAACGACAAACGTCAAACAGACAAAGGAGATGGATACATGAAGTCGAAATGTAGCCGAACTTAGGGTGACCGTTGGCAGGTGCATCTACAAATACTCGTGAAAAACAAACATCCGGACTTTTCATGAGATTCAATAACACGGGCACAGCATTTGTGAGCACCCGCCTGAGCAACACACGCACTAAAGCAAGAATTTGAGCCCGAACTCGGCCATACTTTGCATCCACCACCAGTCCAAGTGGTGCTGTATTCCCCTGGCCTACCCATGCATGAGGCGTTCGCAAAGCTTGCTGCGGCAGCGGCTAGCAGCATTGCTGAGATCTTCATTTTGGCGCTTGAATATGACCGTGGATGAACTCGATATGTGGTGTTCGAATTGGGAAGTGATTGGAATAGAATGATGTCGTGAGGCGCGCCGCCGAACCGTTGAGCAGCGAGTCTAAGGCGGAGAGGTAATCCTGTAAACATTAGTATCGTACAAGTAGGATCGAGAGCTTAAAGAGGCAGATACCGTCAGAGTTTGATTTCACGCAACTACTCTAGATCCGCGGAGGAATTGTGCTTGCTTGATTGAAGCCCATAGAGAAAGAATCGAGGACTTATATACACCTCCTTCCCCGCATCAGGGTGCTGGCATGCGTCTCTTGGATTCATCCAGCTACCCAACTAATGCATGTTACAAGCCTGCTCGTCTCGATTGCACGCTCGCTTGACGCCTGGGACTCGCTTGACAAGAACACTAAACAGGCAACCTCAGCAGGCATAAAAGACTAATCCACGTTTGAAGTCAAACCTGATTCGCTAGATGTGGTGTGTTGACCTGCCCCAAAATAGTAGCTGCTCCCTCAGTCGAAATGGACCTCGTTTGACAAGACCTCTAATGCAGCTTGAGACTCGAACTTACAGTGTAGCATTCCGAGATCAGGTTAAGTTCTTACAAGGAGCCCTTGCTGAGGCGTGCTAATTTAATGATATGCTCACGTGTCCTTCGCCGAAAACCTACCCCGCCGTGCCCCCGTCACTAGGATCCTACCTCTGTAGTAGAAACAAGCTTTACCTCTTTGTTTGGAACCTGCGTTAGAAAAGTCTTGTCAGAAGAGGCCCAGTTCCGCTGAGGGAGCAGATGTGTACTCGCTTCTAGGCGTCAAGCGGATACCGCATCCGAAATCTGACAGGCTATAGAGTGAATGGACAGCCAGGTCAACACGCGGCTAAACTTGTAGAATTACGGAGGAGGCGAAGAGGGGGTTATCTACTGATGAAGCGGCCACTTGACGGCGTGCGAGCATGAGGCTTCTCAGTAAAGTTCCCTTGTACTTGCGGAAGTAGTCTAGGTCTTCAGATACAACTCCAATCAGTACAGGCTCCAAATATAGAATATTCAATCGCGTGTTGGTGTTTTTTCATGGTACCAGGGTGTAGCTAAGCGGCATCCCCCCTCCTTCGCAGTAGAACTCTCTGATAATTGAACGTCCCTCATGAGCGGTGTAGTTAGGTTCATCTTCCTCAGTCGCCAATATCAGACGACCCATGCTTGCTCATGAAGCTACGGGTAGGTGGGTGCTCGTGGAAGCCCGCGGAGAGCCATGACAGGTTCTCTCTTACGTTGCCAGGGCATCCTCAGGCTAGCTTAGGCGCTCCTCCGGCGAGCTCACCGGCGGCGCAGGTCAAAGCAAGCGCTTGCTCACGTCCAGAGATAGAACGAAAACTAGGGTACAATGAAGTTTTGTCCACGTAGAAAGGTGGAGTAGAATACTCCGTAGGCAATACTGAACATAGGAAGATAGTTCGCCCGCTGCGCTTTCCATGCGGCAGGGAAGGTCACCTGATTTGGCGAAACCCGGCACGCGAACATGGCCGCGACCGCGACAACGCCACCGCATTCCGTCAAGTAAGATTACCTTATCCCCAATTCCTCAGCCACGCACGTCAAACCCAAACCCCATGTAAAGCGCGCAATCGTGACCGAATCCGCGTCCTCCGAACCACCAAGCCCTGCCAGAGCACCGCCATGGTACCCGCGCCTCCCCAAACCCTCCGGCGTGCCAAAGCCGCGTTCAAGAAAGGCCATTCCACTATCTCCGAGGCTGAAGCGAAGCGTATCGAGCGCCTCGAGGTACTAGAACGTCGTGCATGCCGCGTTAAGCTGTCTGAGCAGCGCAGGAAGGAGGCGGAGCGGAAGCGGGCGGAAAAGGAAGAGAGGGAGAGGCGGGCGAGGAGACAGTTGGGCGTGGGGCTCGCGACGCAGTTGGCGGGGTACAGTCACACGCAGGCGAAGATGAAGGGGGTTATGGAGGCTTTTGTGTGCAAGGGGAAGAGGAAGAGAGAGCCTGAGGGCGTGGGAGAGTTGGAGGGGGCTGTGGCCAAGAAGGTGAAGGAGGAGATCAAGGCGGAGCCGTGGGACGACGAAGAGATGGACGATTTGCTACTAAGATCGGATGGTCCTGAAGCGCTGGAGAGTCTGAACGACTCTGTTGAGGCGGATACGTCGCCCTCAACTTCCCCGGATCCTTGGGAAGAGGACGGTATTGATGACGCTACCCTTCTGGACGCGTCGGAGGAGGGCACACCGCATGCCGACAGCAGTAGATCCTCACCCGCTATATCTCAAGCCGCCGAGTACGTGACAAAGGTGCGCGACTTTGCGTACCAAGCCAGTCATCCAGTTCATACACATACTCCATCAGCCAGGAACGCCCATTGCACAATGCAACAGTACTCTGACCCCACCGACCTCGACTACTGGGACGATGTACTAGACAGCAACACACAGATCGACCGCGACATCACGAGAGATCAGGAGACCCCGCCAAACTCTACGCTGGCGGATCACGCGAGCCTGATCAGCACGCAGGACTTAGACCTCTTTATGGACGACCTGGAAGATTTAAGCCTACCTGAACCTGTACATCAACACAGCAGAACGGACCCTCTATCACACAATCATCACCACTCCAAAGGTCACTATCCCTCGCCGGTTCGCCATCGTCCATCGGTAGCTCTCGAATCAGCGAACAACATCAACCAAAAAAAGGCTGACACGGACCGGAAGCTGATGCCGCCTCCACTCTTCAAAAAGCAACAGCATACAATGAGCGACCAGAGTATGGTCAGGGCCCAAGTGGATGGCTGTCCAGATCTCTACGTGTCGACTCAGGTACTTCAAGACATCGTATTTGACGACTTCGAGTTGTCTCCAGAGATCACACGCATCGTAGACGTAGACAAGATTAACGTTCATAACAACGTCCGAGTGGGCAATGACGACGGTTACGGCATAGATTATGATTCAGACGCATATGAACATGACTGCCCTTGGGATTGAGACGTAGGTCATGAAGACATGGATCGCTTTCTCGCTACGAGCGGTACGTTCTCGCGAAGTCTTCGGGTCGCCCATACGAAAAGAGTCTCACCCCGAGTCTCCAAGTTGGGCAAGAGGGATTGAGGGCTTGCTGTAGCGTTCTCGGCGCATTTCGTAATCCAAGCAAAACGCCAGCCTGGCTTGTGTTCTACGCGAATATTTTACTTGCGGCGCTTTCTGCATTAGTACCGAGCACGCATCATGTGTAGATTAGAGCGTCACCGGGACCTGGAATTGGGCCAATCTCGAGCTCGTACAGCAGTGTTACTACCTGGAATGAGCGATCCGACCATCATACGATATCCGACACATCCTCCCCTTCGCCCTCGACTCTCGTCCCATCCACCCCACCATCCCCGTCGCCCTCATCCTCCTCGTCCAGATCCTCAAGCGGAAACGTCAGGATCGCCGCGACATTCCCTAGACTTTCCAACCGTTTCCCGCTCTCATGCAGAGAACTCAACACCCTGACCTCCCCGCCCTCAACCTCCTTGACGCGATCCACAAGCCCGACCCACCTTCTCCTCTCCTCGATCTTCTGGCTCCGGAACAGCGCATTCGAAATTAGCAGTGCCCCGCCCCCGCGCCCCACCGCCCCCTTCTCAACCGCGCGTTCCACCTCCCGCGGTCCGTACCATGCCCTCCCGTCGTCCTTCCGCAGCAGCTCTTCGAGCCTGTCCATGAGCGAGGACTCGCGCGCGTATTTCGTGTTGCTGAGTTTCTGGAGCACGGCGGGGGATTTGAGGACGTCGGCGAGGGCGTGCACGTGTGCGGAGGACGAGTGTGCTATTATGATGGCCGGGAGGAGGGATTGGAGCGGCTTGTTCGCGGTGTTTATGGCGGTTCTCTTGATGTAGGCTTGGAATGCCGATGCGGTGAAGTCGGAGGAGGCGAGGAGGAGGGGCTTTGGGGGTTGGATTGTGAGGTCGAGGTGGGTTAGGAGGGTGGTCAGGAGGGTGGAGAAGAATTTGTCTTGCGCCTGTTGGGGAGAGGCGTGTTAGCCTCGTACACCTCCATCCAAGCAGCAATTGGAGATGGGAAAGTGGGAATGCTTACAGCCTCAAGCTTCCCACTCCCATCATACCGCTTCTTCGGCATCATGCTCTCGACCCTCTGCCTCAAGATCGTCTGATTCTCAGTAACCAGACAAATGTTCCCGATTCCCGTCCCCATGACCACTGCCCACACCTCAGCTTTCTTCCGCTGGTCCGTCGCCTCACGCACGATATCAAGCGCCACAGAGTCCCACCCCTCAGCCTTCTCGAGCGTGAAATTCCGGTTCAGCTCAAGATCCAGCGTGTGGAAGCCCCCCAGCTTCACATACTTGTTCTCCTCGGCCACTTTGCCGCTGACGTGCAGCTCCGAGGCGCCGGCGTCGAAGTCGACGGATGTGACGCGTAGGGTGAGGGTGGTGTGAACGCGTGTGGAAGAGGTAGAGCCGGTTGCGGATTCAGTCGTTACGCGCCGGATTGCGGAGGCGCGGAGGAGGTCGGCGGGGCGGATGAGGTTGTAGGCGTGCCACTGCGCTGTATGAGCATGACGTAGCTGTGCGGGATACAAGAGGTTCTACCATATCTTCAGGCTCTTCGGGAAGGAGGGTTGCAAAGCCTGAGCCGTCGCGCCTTTCTATCTGGGACTTGATGAGGCGCATGGTAGTGGTTGAAGACGTCGGTTGGAGTGTCTGAGTACACTGCCGTGCAAACAGGTTTGGTTCGCTAGTAGATAGAATTCGGCTGTATCAACTTAGGTAGTATGGGCACTGTTACCGCTTAGATCAGTTGATGTAGAAGTAACTCGCAACTCAAAGGTGTGATTAGGCCTTGGCAAAAGTGACGTGCGCGGGGAACAGGCTCCATGTAACACTCCGCATGTGGACATGTATGTTTCGTCAATAAGTTACGCCCAATCTCAGTCCCTGCCAGTCCTGCCAGTTTGGTCGTTCCGCTTCTGGGATCGTGATGAATTGCAAACTCTTCTCTTCCGATACTCGCTGCAACTGCCGCGGAACCCGCTTTCCATTTCGACTTCTGAACCCAACTATTCGTCGAGAAGTCAATCACCAGGACGGTTTGACTGACGCATCTCCTTCCACTGCATAAACAAGCCACTCCAAACTCCGCCCAGATTTGATCACACTAATCGTAGCATTCTGATAAGCCGGGGCAGCTCTAGTCTATTGGTTTTCACGAGAAAGGTATTCGCGCTGCTCGTTCTGTCCGGAGAAGTTTCCTGGCGCTTGCGGGCAAACACCTTGGACTATTGATTGGATGCAAGAAGACGTTTTGGGTGTGATAGATGTGCCTTTACGAAGGCGGAGACCAAGGAATATGTTGCAGTAAATCCCTCAAAAGGCTGCTCCTTCGAAGTTTGGTGATGACTAGAGCTGAGAGGCCATTTTGAAGGTTGCCTAGATACAAGCACACCAAGAGGTCAGCCGGCCATGTGATTTTGTACCATCGTGCTCCTTTTTACATCGGCATTCCGGCGCTTGCCTTCAATGCGTCGACACGCGGCGAACAACATGCCATTCGCTGGTGGAGGGGAGCTACAAGCACGTGATGGCGAGATGCTGCGGGTTGGAAGGGCTCATGCAGACAACCTTGGCGTGATTGGTTCTTTCCCGAGGTCCTCGACGCGACGAACAGGAAGGAGACAAACGCTGCATGGGAGACTGGAAGGCGAAGTTGAAGACGGAGTTGAAGACGGAGTTGAAGACGGAGTTGAAGACGGTGGAGCAAGAGACATTGACGAGAATACACCGATACCTACATGAATGTCCCTAGAAACCCACACTCATGCTGTGCACTCACAGGACAGAAAGACGTTGATGAAATAGAGTGAAGTCGAGAGAAATAGCTGCCGGCGACCGAGGAAATGGTTGAGACAGAGAAGCGGAGGTCTCACCTAACTGGCCAGGCGCAGTAAAGTGGTTGCATTAGGGCGCGATTCCATGACGAGCGGCAGCTGGGATTCGCTGCCGGGATACTCCAGGCTGCCCCGAGCAGTTTGGCGCAGGGCTGGGGTCCCTTGGGTCTCCAGTCCCCGTTCCCGGGCGCCGCCGTGCTCCAAGGCGCTTTGGATTAACCCCCCCCCCCCCGTCGTGCTCCGTACTGATACTGTACAGTACACCACAGCTGCGCTTTGTACATACTCCCCTTTCCATTGTCCTCTCTGAATCGCCTGCATCGCCTGCATCGCTGGCATCGCTGGCATCTCAACACTGACCTGCCAAAGTCAGGTGCGCCTTGTACCTCTGCTATCACCCAACCGAGATCCCTTTCGGCGGCTTCCCTGCCTCTTGGTCAGCACCTTAATCGCGATTCGCTCTGTTGCGCTTCTTACTGGTCTCCGCCTCTGCCTCCGCCTCCAACACACCGGAACCGGAAAAAAACTGAACGTTTCGCCTTGAAACACATCTACTCGGCCAGCGAGTCGCGAATTGAAGACAGTCTACCACCCTCTGAAGCATCGTCTGTTCGTCGCGACCATCGCAGCCCTAGCCAATAGCCTGCCGTCCCCCAGCCCTCTCCCGCCGCCGTCCATCGGCCTGGTGCAGAACCTGTTCCAGTCCATCAAGCGGTATCGAGGCCGAGGCTGCGCAAAGCATCAGCGAGGAGAAGAAAACAGGAGAGCACAAGAGCTGGCGCCGCGCTCGACAAGGCACCGGAGCGCAATGCGGAGGTCGGCCCTGCGACAATATCCCGAACAGAGCTAGGACGTGAGAAGCTGGGTCCGTTGTGGTCTTTTGGAGCAGTGGACTCGATAGGCGGCCAGATCTTCCTGCTGCCACTCTAGTCCGGCGTCGCCACGACCGTCTGGCTCTGCGGATGGCGCCAGCTTCGTCCAAGATGCCCGGCGCGTATTTCGAAGATCCATACTCGAAGCTGGACCGATATTTCCAGGCGCCGCCTTCCCTCAAAGCCCACAAGCTATTGCCTCGCAACAGGCATGATGCGCACATGGTGTTCCCGGCCGGCGCACCTGTGAGGTACAACTCCTTCGACGGCGATGAAACGTCGACGCAGCATAGCGCAACCGATCAAACGCCTCTCGCATCGCCAGCACTGATGAATGGAACGGACCCTGGCTTACCGCCAACACCACCGACGAATTCGCTTGAAGCCAGCGCCCATGTAGACTTTGCGATGTCAGCACCGACGGACAACGCAACACCATCAAACCCGAACAAAAGCCCTTCAATCAGCACACCCGTAAACCAATGGAGCCCTCCAACGCCAGATCCAAGCCCTCCTCGAACCGGCGAGTCTCTTGCTCCTCCGGAGCGACCGCCCTTCAACGACTACCCATCCTCGTCCCGCGCAGAATCTTTTAGAACAGCAAAAGAGGACCAGTATTCCTCAGACGGAGAGAGCAGCCGGCGGCAGATGGCATCGGACGATTCGCCAGTGAACACATACTTGAACGCCACAAGGTCCCTGAGACTGCGTACTCTGGGACTTGGGCTGGGGTTCGACCAGAGCGACGGTGATGCGACGCCGACTGAACGCGGTCGCTCAGCGCCTCAGAGTGGGAAGAAAGACTCAGAGTTGGATACGGCGTGGCAATATCGACCAAGTGGTTCGGAGCACATACCCGACAGAGAGTGGGACACAAATCTCATGAGGAATGTGACGGTCCGAAGGAGGCGACCACTCAGAGCGTCGCCACAACACAACGCGTCAAATCACGAAGCTACCTCGCCTGAAGCAGCCATGCCAGCATCGCCGAGCGTACGAGATAAAGCAAAAGAGAGAGACTTGCACTCGGCGTCTTTTGAAAAGTTCGCCGATGACATCGGCTGGCCGGCAGAAGTCAACCGGGTGCTGAGCCTCCACCTTCGCGACAGGGACTCCAAGCGGCTATCTAGTGTTTCAACAACATCGACTGTCGTTGAAGCCGTGGTCATAGATTCTCCACCGCAACAGCTTCCAGCTTTACGCCACGCGAAGAAGAATCTAGCTTTGCGGAGAGACGCAGAATCGCCAGTCGAGCGCTCATCAACAGTCCGCTCCAACCGGAATTCCTTAAACTCAGATGACGTACCTCTACATCGACTAGTGCACAAGAAACCCAGAATACCAGATAGAAGGAACAGAGACAGTGTTGGCTCGGACATAGCTGCGAGCGAGACGTCGTCGCTCCCGACTGTTCCTTTGCGGCATCATCGCCAAAGCATACAGGTAGGCCTCTTGCAATGAGATCCCTCCAAGGTCTTCCCACGGCAGAACACGTTGAAGCAAAGCCACGTATGCTGATATTTGTATTATAGTCGCGCTCGGCTATACCTTCAGACGGTCCCGGCCGCTTCTTCGACTCACCGCCGAAACGCATTACCACAAGTCCTCTTGCACCATCTTCTCCAGCTAGTCTCAGTCGCGAAAGGCGAAACTTTACGGAGCCAGGACCCTACCGTTCCCATGTCGACCCAGCTCCGCTTGTATCGGAATTTCGGCATTACGTCCGCCAGCCATCCCCACCTCCTCCTGACACACAGGAGAGCTCCGTTGTCTACAATGCATCACCGATAGCACCACAGCATCACCCTGCGCATGTAGAGCTTCCAGAGCCAGCACTCCAGGAAGCAAGGCCGAAACCTGCAGCCGTACCTGTAGAGCCGCGTCCCTCTGTTGACCATCGTGAAAATGACCGGCCACGCGTAAGTTTTGACCACACGGCCTCCGACCATGGCCGGCCAAGCGTCACATCCCTCGACCGTGTCCCCACAGAAGAGCTGCACCGCCCAAGCGCCGAACTCTCGCCCTCGTTCCGGCGTATCTCTCTCGACCGCAGCACTGTCCGGACCGAAGAACACGCCATGGCGCGCCATGTCTACACCTCCTCCACCCCCTTCAGTCAGATCTCCGACCTCCACGACCTGGAAGTCAGTGAAGCAACAGCCGTCAGCATCTTCCCGCACAACAACCACTCTTTGCTTGTTGTCCAGCAAGTCGCGAAACCCTCCGCCTCCGGCTCCAACTCCAACTCCACCTCCCTCAGCCACCACAACACCCACTACCCCTCCTCCCAGCCCTCCACCGAACTAATCGGCCGCACCGAACCAAGCGGCCAACAACTCCTCGACGGGCCTCTCCTCACAATCGAGCCCTCGACGCCACCAGACCGCAGCACCGAGATTTTCGCCGTCGACAGCCCGCTCAAGAACCCGCGCAAGCCGCCTCCGCCGCCTGCATTCAAAATCATCCCGCCTACGCCGGCTGATGAGCTGGACCGCCAACTCGCTGCCCCTCTGCCGTCGTCCCGTGACCGCTCGCGCTCACCGAATAGAACAGTGTCTGGCCCCCCGGTCGCGAGGCGCCTGAGCGTCCTACAGCGCGCACGACGGTACAGCGATACTTTCATTGCACCTCTACTCAGCCGAAACGGATCGCTGTCGAACCGGTGGAGCGCTGTCACCGCTTCGGGATCCCGGAATGGTAAAGCGGTGCGCCGAGTTCCGTCGGTGGGGGACGAGGGCCAGGATCCGAGGGGGAATAAACTGCATCCGTTCTGGCGCCCGCGCGGCTTCTGGGACGATTTCAGCGACGACAGCGAGGAGGACTTTTTTGATGAGGGCCGGCCTGACCCACACCATGACGGTGCCAACGGCGGTAGTGGCGGGGACAGACTCCCCGAGGGCGGCGACACCTCCTCAATCCCCTCGGTCGCTGAGGAGGGAGATGTCCCCCGCCTGAAGCGTGTCGGCAGGCGTCTAACGGACGGCTTCAAAGGGAGCGGCGGTTTCTTGATCGGGAATAGTCTGGGCATCGAGCGCGGGCCGACGAATGGGAGGAGGCATTATGTTAGTTTGCCGCTTGGTGTCTCCGGAGGCGGGCGGGCACGTGACTTTGGGATTGGTGGCCGGGGCGAGCCGGTGGGTCGGGTGGTCAAGAGGTCGAGCACGGGATCACTGAGGACGGGGAGTCTGACGGCCTTGCATGCGGGTGAGAGTGCGGGAAGGCGGAGTCCAAAGGCCGTGAGTGGTCCTGCTGGGAGCGCGGGTCGAGGGGAGGGGGGATATAAGAACATGAGCAGGGAGGGGCGGAAGAGGGAGTGGAGGCTTCCAGGCACGGATCGGAGGCTGCGGTATGTTGGTCTGGGCGGCCTGAAGGATATGATGAAGGAGAAGAAGGCGGAGAAGAGGCGGGAGGAGCTGAGGAGGAGTATTGGGAGGAGGTGGATGCTTGAGGGGCCGAAGATTGGGTGAGCTCGTTGCTGTTCTGGGCAGGCGAGCGGAGATTACAAGCGGTCAGAGTGTTGGATACCCGAAGGAGCCTTGATGGGTTATGTGGCTTGCGACATCCCACAGAGAGGAAATTGGCAACAATAACCGTCCGGATGCACGACTCGAATGATTTCACGACATATGACCACACGATTTACGGCAGCCATTGGACACACAGCGGGATTCGTGGTGGCTTTTTCTGATTCCTGCTATCTAAGGCACATTTTAAGTAGACTACCTTTGTCTTCTGAGGCCTCAAACTGTAACACTATCACAACTCCCACTAGTGGGACCTCATTCAAGCAGTCTACCGTAGCAACGACATCCCCTTCGTACCTTCTCAGTTTGAAGGCGCTCCGTCCCACCAAACTGCTCTGCATCAGACTCCTCTGCATCAAAATTCTCTGCATCAGAAGTCTTCGCATCAAGAGTCTGCATCAATTTGCCCATCTCCCTGTCCGGCGCCCTTCACTCGACGATTCACCTCAACAACTTCCTGCCCATATCCTCTCTAGGCGACTCGTAATTCTTACTCTCTGAGATATCTCCAAGCCTCGCTCCGATCCTTCCCTCTCATCCCGGCTCCCCGCTTCAAAGGCTGGAGAATCAGGAGTATCATTGCGATTCATCATAGCATGCTTCTCATCTCCACCATCTCTTCGACCTGAACCCACCGGATTCAATTCTTGAGAATGACGACCTGGACTGATTGCTCACAGCTCCTTCGCCGTGTGTCCGTCGCAAACCTGGGTGATCTGGAAAGTCTGACGCCAAACCCGACACGGGGAAGTCATCCGAGCAGAAGCTCGCGAACAGTCCAGCACCGAAGCCCAGTCCCCTTAAGGGGTGCCTCGATTTCGATGACACCCAACCACCCGAGACCGAAGGCTGGCTCATCCTCAAGGACTTCAAGCCAAAGGATTCTGACGCCATCAGCGTTTCTAGTTCCGACACTGATGGAGACTCCGACTCTGAAGACGACGCTGAGAAAACTATGAGCCGGCAGAACCGCAGCACCACGCGTATTTTAGGTTCTCCCAGGACTTCCGTGAGGTTATCGCCCTACCGAACAAGAAGTAGGGCTAACCAAAGTCAATCTCGAGAAGGCCGACATTCGGAGCCAAGGATGGCATGCCCAAGCCGTCTCCGTATTGCCTTTCGCTTCGCTAAATGACACAGCCTGCGTCCTCACACGTCCATACAGGAAAGAGAAGGCGCAGTGAGATTCGCTTCTAGTTAAGTTTACCAGTCCGAAAAACTTCGCTACCTATCACAATGCAAGGTAGGCATTGGCCGAAGCCAATGAAGCGCATAATCCGAGCGAACCTGTCCAACGAAATACTGAAGCAGAACATCAAGGCCTTGAACACGCTTCACGCAATCCTCGTGCAGCCGGTGGGTAGTCCGCAGGTAGCGTTCTGGGCTTAACGGAGCATTTCATTGCTCTCTTGTTGATTATACACGGCCGAGACGTATCGACCGGGCCAACCAGATCTCGTGCCCGTATCGTCAATTTCCCGCCAAAGGAGTGCGCTAACCACCGGCTGCACGAGGATCCTGTACAATTTGAAGGACGAAGTCCAGGTTGGGAAAGTGAATCAAGCTTTGATGGCTAATCGAATCGACACCCTTGGACCACGCGACGCCGACGAAGATATATCGATGCGACGGAAGCCAGGGCGGAGCTGGATGAATCCATCAATCGCGAAGTCCAACACCGGTCCATTGCGTAGAACATCTATCACTTTCCAGCATTCCATAGCCAGCAAGACCAACGCTCCGACGTCCGGCACGACAAGCCGGGAATAAGGACCAGCATACGGCGCACCTTACTCTCAGTACGCAGTAGCACTGACACAACTACACAATCAAGACTTTCGTGCCATGCTCTATAACGGAAAGTAGATTTCTTCTAAATATACAAGCCCCTTACACAGGGCCTGCTGCTTTAAACTTCCAAAAGAGACGCTCGCTATACACTCAACTCATCCTCCGCGCTCTCCCGCTTAACCCTCTTCCGCTCTTCCAGCTCCCTCTCCGCCTTCGTCCCCGTCCTTGGCACATGCTGCACATACCAGGGCAGCGCGACCGCAAGCAACATCCCAAGCCCCAGGAACCCAGCCGTGACCGCAAAGCCCATGGTGTAGGCCGGTGCAGTTGAGGTAGGCCAAATCCTGGAACCATATACGCTGGAGAAATTTCCAAACGCGTTCACCAGCGCGAGAACAATGGCTCTCTTCTCTGCCGGTAGACTAATCGTCGTCGACGTCCACGTTAAGATGAGGGGTAGGGCCGACCATATACCGGCTGCAACGAAGCAAACCATGACATATCTCGCGATGGGGTTTTGGGTAACGGCACAGACAACAGCGGCACCGAACCCGACGGCCAGCGCGCCGCTGATGTGCCAACGCCGCTCGTTGTTGCGGTCCGCGGAGTAGGCGAGGATGTTGAGGAACACAGCCGCGACGGCGTAGATGGGGACCGTCATGTACTGCGCGGTAACGCTGGAATAGCCAAGGGTCTTCGTGATGGTCGGGATGAAGTAGGAGATTGTGCCTGCGCCGACATCGAGCACGAAGAGCACAAGGAAGACGTAGGTGCGGGGATCCGAGATTGCGGCGACGAAGGCGTCCCAGTGAGAGAGGCGAAGCGTCTTGTCGGCGCTGCCGGAGTCGATGCCGTCCTTGAGGATACGCACAACGGCGAGCTGACGTTCTTCGAGAGTGAGGCGTTTCGATGTCGCAGGGAAGTCGAGGAGAATGAAGGTCGCAATTACGGCCACGCCGACGGTCGCCACGCCCTCTACGATGAAGAGCCAGCGCCACCCCGCGATGCCGTGGGCGCCGTCGAGATGCGAGGTGATGGCGCCGGCTAGGACGCCTCCAAACGCACCGGAGATGACGGCCGCGGTGTAGAAGATGGCGAAGCGCTTGCCGAGCTCGGTGCTCTTGTACCAGGTGGACAGGAGAAAGAGCACGCCGGGAAAGAAGCCGGATTCGATGCAACCGAGGACAAAACGGAAAGCGAGCAGTGCATTATAGCCGTTCGCTATTGCCATCAAAGCGCTCAAGACGCCCCAGACGAACATGATACCGGGCAGGTAGAGGGATGGGCGTGAGCGGCTGAGGATCATATTCGAAGGGACCTCCATGATGAGGTAGCCGAAGAAGAAGATGGAGAGCACCCAGGCGTAGCGGGTGTCGTTGAGGTTGAGGTCAGTGTCCATGCCAGCGATCTTTGCGTTGCCCTGTATATCTGTCAGCGTCGGCTCAATTCGAATAACCTTGTTTCGTGCTTACGATGTTCGTCCTGTCAACATAGTTGAGGATGTACATGATCCACAGGATCGGCATCAATGCCCAGTCAATCTTCCGCACGAGCTTTTTCTCTGCATCTGAGCCGGGCACATAGCTCCTCAATGCCTCAGCAAGCTCTGCATCTTGTACAGTGACACCCGCTGGGCCCTTGCCCTCTATTATATCGAGTTGGTTCTTGGCCACCATGGTGAATGATTCTTCCTTCTCGCTAGGTATATGTGAGAGAAGACGAGATGTAATCAGTATTGGATAAGGTTGAGAGGTCTGGGGATTGAGGACTTTAGTATCTTCGAACCTGGGGTGTGATCCCGAAGTAACGGGTCAGACACTGAGGAACAGTTGAGCCAAGTCTGAGCGTGGGGCCCCATATTGCTGACTCTGTGCGCTGGCTCAAGCTTCAAACGCCGGCAGCAAGACCACAAGGCGGTGGATGCTTGTCCACAATTGAACAGCCAATCGAAGGCTGGTATTGTCCGGGTCGAAAGGCGCGACGCGGTGTTCGTGCCGCTCAGCGGCTACACTGTCGGCGAAACTTCGGAATAAGCTGCTGGTTGGTGGATTAATGCCTGATCGTGCTGATAAGTGTTCTGGGACGGGTTGATAAGATGGGATGTTCTGTGGCGTCTCGGCGATTGACTTTTTGAAGTCTCAAGCGCGGGAACTTTCGTTCCTATCATGAGTCATGAAGCCATGCCTTCCGCGGGGACTGCTGTATGAACCGTCTGGAGGCTGTTCGGAAAGCACGCCGCTGGAGGCTGACCGGAGAGCACACCGCTTGATCAAGACGACATGGAGCACAACACTAAACCTCGGAATGCCGCAGGGAGAGTTGCACATCGAGTGGGACTATTATTGGAGTCAATACAGTCGAGGTCGTCTTCCGCATCCGTACAAGACCAATACTCGGGTTTGACGCCGACATCTTGAGCGACTATGGGTCTTCAAGGCATGTCTGGAGACTTGAGCATTTCTCTCTCGCGGTGGTGAGCGTTCCGCAACAAATAAATGAAATTGATTATTTGAGGTGACTGATAGCCCTACGGCCAAGAAAGTAGCTCAGACTAGTTTGTCCTTACCATAATGTTGATGTCCCCTGCTGGCGAAGATCTGTCGCCAGCGTAAGGCTACTCCGCCGCAAGGTGACGGCGGATCTCCGTAGTCAGGAAATCTCTTGGCATCAGCGGGACTTATCGCAGCAAGTTGATCCTCAAGTTGGCTTCAAGGGAAGAACTCCGAAGGCTTTAGGTCTTCGAGGCTCAACGGCTTTCCTCCGAGGCCTACTGTCAGGCGCGTTTCTCTCCGCCCTGAAGCAGATATGCCAGCCCAGGCCATGCCAAGCAGGATCGCGAGATGGCCGCTCTGAGGGACTAATCCGTTGACACGGTGGCTATCCCGAGAAGGTGATGGCTGCGGAGTAGATCGGGAACATAAAGCTGCTACAGGCCTACACAACGATTGCGGCCTGTGACGCATGTGGCGGACTTCTAAGCATTTCGATAAGCCTGATGCATGCTTCGGTACGCGTTTTAGAGTATCCCGTAGCTTGATGAATGCCCTAAACGAGGCGACATGTTGTGGCTAGAAATCTACAGTGACTTCAATGACGCATGAGTCGAACCGATAACCGGACCGGTGGGACCATCTACCCAGGTATCTGACTGGCGAGCGTGTTGAACATGCCTAGAGGCAGATAATTCTCGTCCATGCCCCAACTGTCGAAATCGCCCCACATCGTTCCAAAATCCATTTGCCCTTGCGGCCAGGCTATCTGATTGTCCATGGTCTGGAAGTCCTCGGCGGCGGTTGTAGGCGCGGCCGGGATACTAATGTGCTGTTGCGAGACACTAGATGCAGTCCTTGACGCCTGTCGGTCTTGCTCCTTAAACCTGTCCACAAGATTCCGTAGACCTTTGGATATGTGCCGTGCCAAGTGGCGGTCACTTGCCCTGGCATCCCTCAGAAGCTCGACGATGCGTTCGACAAGGCTCAGTATGAGCGAAGAGTCGACGTCCAGACATGCCGAATGCCAATTCAGACGTACTTTCAGCAGGAAGACCGTTGCGAATGTGACAGTGGTAAGCAGATATATGGGGACACCGACGAGCGCTCGGCGGATATCCGGTTCTTCAAGGACAATATCCAATGCTGAGACTGCGTTCTGAACTGCACGATTTGCGAACAAGCGACGTTCAGAAGACTCTGGCGATGTATCGCACAGGGTGGAAGGCGCCATGCCCCTCAATGCTAGTGAATTCAGCTGCAACTTGCCGAACTGATGGTGGAGGAGCACCCCTTTGCCGGGATATGCGTTGATGTGAGGATTAGGAGCTAACCGAGACTCCCACTTCATCTTCCATTCGTCAAGTTGGCTGTTGAAGAGGTGTAACAGCTTGAGACCCTCGGCGTTCAGCGGCTTAGTGCTGTCCGGACCAAATGTTTCGTATATGCGGCTCAGGATGACGAACATGGAGACCTGTGAGTGTAGTCGGAAATCCGCATTCGTGATACCAGGTAGTTGTAGGAATGCTTCATGATTCGTAATGGCTAAGTCCTCGTGGATAACTGGAGGCCTGGTATCTGTCAGTTTGTACATTCCGCATGACATTTCGAGCTCGCAATATATAGCGCTAGAGGTAATCGCATAAATACAGAAAGACCAGCACGACCGCAAGAAAGATGGTTGTTGCTCTGTATCTTCGTCCATAGAATAAGATTATGGAGCAGTTCAGGGGTGATCTCTTCGCGACAAGCGCTGAGAGTGCGTAACGATGAGGATTTGCATGTGCTTAAGGCGCAACTTGTATCTTGCGAATGAAGGTCTCAATAATTCTTAAACACAGCGATAACATACCTTCCGTAGGCGATTGAGAAGTGATGATCGCATACGTATAGGAAGGCCCATAATCGCCCCTTTTCGACGTGATCCTGATGACCCTCGATTGCTTTGGCAAAGCTCAGATGCAGCTGCAGTTCCGTTGCGATGCGAACGGCGTGACCGGAAAGCTTCCAGCTGACATCACTTAGCCAAAAAGCTCCGATTGCCAACGCCCGCACATCGTCCAAGGAATGGTAGCGGTCGAACATGGATCCGGAGACATGTGCCAAGAACTCGCTGTAAGCGATGTCGAACACCCGCTCGTTGCCCGGAACGTGTAGCGCCGTGACCGTGAGTATGGCTGCCAAAAGCAAAGAGGATGACTTGCGTACGGCATCCAAGCTATCATGTATTAAGGCTATCCCACCCCAGAGGTACTGATTTAGAGGGCCGCTGAATATCCGGAACAGCTCTTCGGCCTGAGCTTGGCCGACTAGGCCCCGCGAGATGAAATCATTCTGAAGGGTGGTGCCAGGTGATCGATCATGACGTTTATTATCCGAATAACTGCGCAGGTTTCGGAGTTTCGTAACCTCGAAGAGGCTAGCCATCGGGGCAGACACTAGCGTAGTGTCTTCTGGTTCCTCGCGGTCCGGTTCTTGAGAATTCTCCCTGGTCATTGCCATGCCAGGCATCGATAGTCGTTTGGGGGACGCATGGCCCGCGCTTGTCGGTGACGCGAATTGAACCCGGACGTCGGTATCCCTTGAAATATTCGAGGACTTGGAAAGCACCTCGTCCAAAGATGGCTGAAGTTCGTTCAGGGGTAGAATAGGTGTTTTCAATCCATACTGCTCGAAACCGGGAAGGCTTGAGTTACGAAGAATCTCAGAGACAGCGGCCTGAAGCTGATGGAGCTGCTGCTCCACTGCTACCTTCCATCTGTAGTGACGAATCAGCAGATGACCCTTGATTCTACTGTGATCTTCGCATTGCACGATCGGATATACGACAACCAGCCACCTGGCACACAGCGGTCTAATGAGTGGAATGTTGATGATCCCAACGAAATTTGAGGTTGCGAATTGAAGAAAACCGTTTGTAGACTAACTCGCTTTCATCTTCAAGCAACGTTTGAAGGTTCTTGTTCACAATACAGGACAGACCGAGCCTACGGCACCTGGAACATTGATTGCCGTCTGTGATGTCGCATTTCACTTTGCGGCTCTGACAAGCCTTGCCTGTGACAGGGTACCCGTGTCAGCTCTGTAATGCAATGGCTTTATTGACGGTACGCTCGAGTGGTCATATTGACGAGAGGGCTGTGAAGCACGGTAGGTGCCATGAACCCGGAGCAGTCCGCATGATTAAGACCTGTGTATTGCGCTCTAGAGGTCATTTCAGGCATGGAACTTGTTGGATGCTTCTGACATCCTGAACTTTTGCGACCACTGCTGTGGCTCATAGCACCTCAATGATCATCTAGTAGAGTCTGCCTTAGGAGGAACATACAAGCGCGAATTTTCCTCGATATCTTAGGTACATCTGCCGCAGGGCTGGTCGAGTTGCCGTTCGTGGTAATCCTGCGAAGCAGCGGAGCTGGTTCCGCCCGCCCTTCACTCATTTCAGAGAAGTTCCTCTTCATCCCGTGCTCATCCCCGTGGCTGTGATGAGACGCGTTCATGTCGTGTTCAGCGTGTTGAAGATGTGGAGAAGGCGGCGAGAGGGCCGCGTGGGCCAGCTCTCGGTTTTCTGTCCGCACCATCAACCCCGCGGTGGCAAACATCATGGGCTTGGCACAAGGTCTATCCCGAGTGTCCATCGCCGCTTTTCCCCTGCTGAAATCCGGCCACAGATTTCCGAGATAGCCCTTGGCATTTCGGACTTCCGCCCGATAGTGTTTTGGTTTGAGATCGCCGAAACTTGCTCGCCTTGGGGCCTGCCGAAGAAGTAACATGTGGACCCTTGAGCGTCTGGCTCTTCCTGACGGCATGATGCTACAAAAGAAGGGATGCCGCGCCTGGAGCAGTCCAAATTCCCGGAAAACCTTTCGAGCGGTATACACAAGCTACATTGAAGACATACCAAACCTTCCCTGATCATACAAAACGCGACTTCCATATACAAGCATCGGTCCGCCGTCACCTCGATTGCACCGAATCGTAATACCTTCTACCTTTTTCTTCGCTTGTTTTTGCAGATTTCACTATGGCGGAGGGGAAGGTTTTGAGAGGGAAAGTCGGCTTTGCCGGACTGGGATCGATGGGTTTCGGGATGGCTAGCCATCTGCTGAGAGAGGGCTATCAAGTCACAGGTTTTGACGTATATCAGCCGACGTTGGAGAAATTTCAGGCCATTGGGGGCGCAACATCGTGCTCGCCCAAAGGTGCTGCAAGGGGCTCCAATGTCTTCATCTGCATGACGGCGAACTCAGATCAAGCACAGTCTGTACTTTTCGGCACAGATGGCGCAGTTGATGGTAAGCACAACTTCTCAGGCATGGTTATACGATTGGCTAATGTACGGTTGTAGCTCTCCCGACAGGCGCTGTGGTAGTATTATGCTCTACTGTACCACCAGCAGCAATCCAAGAGATTCAAGAGAAGTTGCGCCAACGTGGCCGAACGGACATATCGCTGCTCGACTGCCCAGTTTCAGGAGGCACTGCACGTGCTGCGTTAGGCACGTTGACCATCATGGTGGCCGGTAGCCCAGAAGCTCTAGACAAAGGGAATGCTATCCTCTCCGACATTTCCGAGAAGCTTTACGTCATCCCCGGTGGTATTGGAGCAGCTAGCAATGTAAAGATGATCAACCAGCTACTAGTTGGTGTCCACATTGCTGCGGCCGCAGAAGCCATGGGCCTAGCTGCAAAAGCCGGGCTCAACACTCGCCAAGTATACGACATTATCACGAACGCCGCCGGCAACAGCTGGGCCTTCGAGAACCGCGTTCCTCATATGCTCGACAACGACTGGAATCCGCTCTCAGCACTCAATATCTTTGTAAAGGATATGGGTATCGTGACGTCTACCGGCCGATTGCATGGCTTCCCTCTGCCACTGGCTTCAGCGGCAGAACAACTGTACATTTCCGGGTCCTCTCAAGGACTGGGACTTGAACATGATGCTGGAGTTGTTCGTACATACATCCCCACAACTCCCTCGCTCGTACATGAGCAAGCTCGCCCCGTCTCAGATGGGGCGCATCTCACACCAAGCGTTACGCCTACGGAGATCGCCAAGATCGGCTTCGTCGGAATGGGAGCGATGGGCCAGGGAATGGCTGCTTCTCTGCTCAGAGCAGGATTTACGGTACATGGCTACGACGTGTACGAGCCTTCGGTACAAAAGTTCATCAGCGGCGGTGGCAAGGCTTCTGCAGCGAAATCACCATCGGAAGCCGCTCAGAATGCACAAGTCTTGTTACTGATGGTTCAAAATGCAGCCCAGGCTGACGACGTGTTGTTTGGAGCTGGAGACGCGGCGGAGGCGCTGCCAGCAGATTCCATCATCATCCTCAGTTCTACGGTACCTCCTTCCTTCGTGAGAAGTCTTGGTGATCGCCTAACTGCGATGGGCAAAAACATCAGCTTGGTCGATGCGCCTGTGAGTGGAGGGGTCGTCAGAGCTGCGAAAGGCGACTTGACAGTAAGTTTCAACACTTCTAGCCCGTCCGGCCATACTCTGACCATCGACGTCACAGATCATTTGCTCAGGCGCCGACAATGCTTTGGAGCATGTGAAATCTGTCTTGACAGCTATGAGCGGCCTACCGAAGAATCTCTGCTACGTGCAGGGCGGCATAGGCGCCGCCTCGTCCGTTAAGCTCATTAATCAGCTTCTAGCAGGCATACACATCGCCGCAGCCGCCGAAGCGATGGCTTTCAGTGCTAGACTTGGTCTCGATACACGGAATGTGTTCGAGATTGTAAAGAATGCCGCAGGTTGGAGCTGGATGCTCGAGAACCGTGTACCTGCAATGCTGGATGCAGACTGGACACCACATTCTGCACTAGCGATCTTTGTCAAAGATATGGTATGTCCTGGATGGGCTTCCTGGGCTTCGTGTTACTTACCGTCGTTTGTAGGGAATCGTTCTCGATGAGGCTAAGCGGCTTCTCTACCCCGCGACCATGTCCGCAGCGGCACATCAACTTTACCTTGCTTGCCACTCCCATGGCTTGACAAAAGAGGCGGACTCGGGAGTCGTCAGATTCTGGGAGCTTATGACGGGCGTGTCTGTGTCAAAGAGTGCTGGCCCCAAAGAGACTAAAGAGCAAATGGCTTTCCAACCCCGAAATTACCCGGCCCTGCCGGCCAAGGAGACCATTGAGTCACTACCACCGCCGTACTCTGGGGACGTGATAAGCGCCATCAGAAACCATGTCGAAAGCGATAGCACACCAGTCTTGGTAGTCCTTGATGACGATCCGACTGGAACACAAACCTGCCATGACATTGCCGTTCTGACTGTGTGGGATCCTGATACTCTCCGTGCCGAGTTCGAAGCCACGAAATCCGGTTTCTTCATTCTCACAAATTCGCGTGCTCTTCCACCCAAGGAAGCTAAAGCGTTGATTTTGGAAATCTGCAAGAACGTCGCCAAGGCGGCTGAGGCTGCCAGTAAGCCTTTCGAAATCGTGCTTCGCGGTGACTCGACGCTCCGTGGACACATTCCGGAGGAGCCGGAGGCCGCTGAGGAGGCGCTCGGGAGGTTTGATGGCTGGATCATCGCCCCTTTCTTTTTCCAGGGCGGCAGGTACACCATCGACGACGTGCATTATGTAAAAGAAGGGGACGAGCTAGTACCTGCCAGTGAGACTCCATTTGCCAAGGATGCAACTTTTGGGTACAAGAGCTCAAATCTCAGGGACTACATCCTGGAAAAGGCCGGGCACAGATTTACTGAGCACGACTTCCTGTCCGTCACACTTACAGACATCCGGGCTGGCGGCCCCGACGAGGTGACCAAGAAGCTGCTCGAGGCGCCAAAGGGCAAAGTCATCATCGTCAATGCCGCTGCCGAGTCAGACATGTACGTCTTCGCAGCAGGACTGCTAGCCGGTAAGTTGTTTCTCCTGCTCCTACTTTCTAATCGTCCCTGACATCATCACAGCCGAGAAAGCAGGCAAGCGCTACCTCTACCGCTCAGGCGCTGCCCTCGTATCTGCCCGCCTTGGCATCAGCGGCATTCCACCTCTCACGATGCAGGACCTCGGGGTCAAGCCCGAGGAGAATCCGAATGGCGGTCTCATCGTCGCTGGGTCCTACGTCCCCAAGACGACTGCGCAGCTCAAGACTCTCCGCGAGCGTAGAGGCAATAAGCTGCGCACAATAGAGCTGGACGTCGAGCAGCTGATCTCTTCGCAAGATTCAGCGGACCAGGCCGTCAGCTCGGCGATTCAGCAAGCTACGCAACTTCTGTCGGGAGGCGAAGACGTCCTTGTCATGACGTCCCGTAAACTCATCACCGGCGCTGATGCGCTCTCGAGTCTCAGCATCGGAAGCAGTGTCGCTGCCGCGCTTGTCAAGATTGTTCAGGGCATCGAGGTCAGACCGAGGTATATCATCGCAAAGGGCGGCATCACGTCCTCGGATGCGGCGACCAAGGGGCTGAGGATCAAGCGTGCCATGATCCTGGGCCAGGCGGCGCCCGGGGTGCCGCTGTGGAGATGCGATGAGCCGACCAGCAGGCATGTCGGCGTACCGTATGTCGTATTCCCTGGGAATGTTGGATCAGAGGAGACGTTGGCAGAGGTTGTGGAGCGATGGGCTGTCTAAAGGGTTTGTAGAAGGACGGAACAGTGAGGTCTAGGATATACACCAAGGGTTATGGTGAAGGCGTTCGGAAGGTGCCGCGTAAATTCGTAATGTCCTGTTACTTTCAGAGCCTCGGGGGTCCTCTTCGTCAAGGCCACCTATGGTAAGCATACGGTGTCCATCGAAGCTCTTAACAACACCTTCAACGACAAAGCAGAGATCTATCTTCTCGTTCAATTTAGAAACACCGAGAATTGGGTGATAAAGTTCACTCGGCGCTTGGAATTTATCGAGCAGGATAACCTGATCAAGACCTGGTGGGAAGGCAATTTAGTCATTTAGAAGAGCAAGGCACTGAAGCCTGAACAACACTCCACTTAACTTACGTCACTGCTCGTATCCTTTAGCAGTTAAGCCTGGTAACTCATCACCTATTACGGAGTACTTGCCGATAACGAAGCACGTAGCCTGATCTGGACCGTATGCACTACGCAGATGCACTTTGTTCCACTCCCAAAGGCGAAACAGAAACCGCTGTTCGCACCACTCGATGTCTACAGGGACGAGGAAAACTTCGGCTATAGCAGCCCTTCGGCCAACGGACTACATTCTTGAAGATGACGACTTTGAATGGTTTTCCACATCTCCATCGCCGCATGTGTCCGCCGCAAACCTGTGTGACCGAGAAAAGCACGATGACGACTCTCCAACCTTTAAGAAACTGGGATGGGAAGGTGGGACTACAGCAAGCCCAAAGGCATCTAAGCGAGAGCAGAAACTATAGCTCTTGCAGGAAGACCACAGGCGGGAGGGTGCCGAGTAGAAGTAATGATTGGAAGGCGCTAGACTTAGAGATGAGAAGGCTTAATGCAGATGAGAAGTTTAGTGCCTGCAGGGTGAAGCGGGGATCTGAAACACTCAGATCATGTAGGAAAATTTCGTCCTGGTTTGTCTTTATTACGAGGACATTCTGGATTGCGACATTAGTGCTGTCACCATAGACGATGAACGCTGTGTACCGGGTGACGGTTTGCAATGACCTTTGGTTGCTACTTAGGCAAAACGCCACAGTAAGCAACAGAATCCGGCGTGAGAACACCATGCTGGGACATCTTGAACTATGGATGGACGTCTGTCCTGTTCCTCGCCGTTCTGAAACTTCCATATCGAATTCTACGTTCAGACTGTCTACAATGCCTCCGCGCAATCACCTTCCGATCTCAGAATAGGTCCGTCAGCGCACCATGACTTGCATCCCCCACCAACCGCGCATACTTCGCCAACACACCCCTCGTAACAACTGGCTTCGGCGGGACCCACTCCTCTAACCTCCTCTTCACCTCTTCCTCGCTCACATCCATACTCAAACTATTCGTCTCCGCATCAATCGTGATGACATCTCCATCTCTAACCACCGCAATGGGCCCGCCCACCGCAGCCTCCGGCACAATATGTCCGACAATAAACCCATGACTCGCCCCCGAGTATCGTCCATCCGTAATCAGCGCCACATTCGTGAGTTTAGCCCCCATGAGCGCCGCGGAGGCCTTTAGCTGCTCCGGCATTCCCGGGCCGCCTTTGGGACCCTCATACCGCACAACGAGGACCAAGTTCTCGCCGCGCGGGATCTCACCCTTGTTCAGCGCGCGGTCGAGCTGGTGCTCCTTGTCGAAGACGCGGGCCTTGCCGGTGAAGCGCAGGCCCTCTTTGCCTGTGATCTTGGCCACCGCGCCGCCCGGCGCGAGATTACCACGTAGAATCTCGATGTGGCCTTTGCCGCGGATCGGGTTGTCGAGGGAGCGGATGATTTCCTGGCCCTGTGGGAGCGAGGGGAAAGATTCAACGTTCTCGGCGAGGGTCTTGCCTGTGACGGTTGGGATGCTGCCGTCCAGCAGGCCGGCGGCCACAAGCAGTTTCATGACGCTGGGCACGCCGCCGATGTCGTGGAGATCGGCCATCAGGTAGCGGCCGGACGGCGCGAGGTCAGCGATGAAGGGGATCTTGTTGGACACACGCTGGATATCGTCGAGGGTGAGCGAGACGCCGGCCGTCGCGGCCATGGCGAGGTAGTGCAGCACGCCGTTTGTGGAGCCGCCGAGCGCCATCATCATCACCATTGCGTTTTCGAATGAGGCCTTTGTGAGGAGGTCGCGCGGCTTTATGTTCTTCTCCATGCAGATGCGGATCGCGTCGGCGGCTTTGACGCATTCGCGCATTTTCGCGGGGGAGGTTGCGGGCGTGCTGGATGAGCCTGGTAGCGTGAGCCCCATGGCCTCGATCGCGGTCGACATCGTGTTCGCAGTGAACATGCCGCCGCAGGCGCCGGCGCCGGGACAGGAATTCCGCTCTAAGTCGTCCATGATGTCGTCCGCGCTAATGTTCTTGTCATGCGCAGCTTCGAGGGTCTTGTACAAGTACGCCCCATGCGCTTCGTAACATGTGCTTATGTTGACGGTTTTGCGGAGGAGATTGGAATACCCTGGCTGTATGGTGCCGCCATAGATCATCAGAGAGGGTCTGTTATGCCGAGCCATGGCCATTACAACTCCAGGCATGTTCTTGTCACAGCCGGGTATCGCGATGCAGGCGTCGTGAAACTGGGCGCAGGTTACTGTCTCGACGCTGTCGGCGATGATCTCGCGGGTTTGAAGGGAGAAGCGCATGCCTGCACGCAAGCTTGATCAACCCCGTGATCTACACACCCAATCGGGGTATAGCTACCTTCGCCGCCCATTGTGATGGCGTCTGACACCCCGATGGTGTTGTATTGCCATGCCAGCATTCCTTGCTTCTTTACGGCGTCCTTGACAGTCTTCCCAAGGTCCATCACTATTTGTTGCCTCCAGTGTCAGCGCGAGTTTAAGCGCAGATTGTAGTGCAGCGTATGATTACGAAGAAACTTTGCGGGGGGTGCTATGATATGCTGAGCACATACAATGCATGCT